TTTAAGAGAAAAAAACAAAAATGAACAAAATGTAAAATAGAAATGGGGATATTTAAAAGAGTGAGTGATGTGCCCCACAATATAATCCGTGTGAGCATGAAAAATCACCCTCAATAAGATCTCCTTACCTCCTCGCTGGTTAAAATGGGCATTTTTGTGAAGTGAAAAAGTTATTGATTCAACCACATCAATAATAACGCTGGCTCCACTGTCTCTTCAGCCAGAGGTGCCTAGCACTCAAGAAAAATTTTCCATTTAGTTTTCCTTCTAGAATCTATTAGTTTAGTACATTATGTCAACTATTTGTTATGCCTCTGGCAATGACCTCCGGCCTCACCTGGAGGAAGCATGGCACAAGAGGTGATTTATTCTCTTTCTAGCTTTATTCTAGAGCGTTTACTCAGCGGTGGCTGCCTGATTCGGCAGGCTGGCGGAGACACTTGTGGGGGTTTGTGATGAAGACTATTTTTCAGAGGAGGTGAAGATGCTCTCAACAAGCCTGAGGTGAGGGGGAAGAAAGCATCAGAGAATTTCTCCCATTGCAAAACCTTAAATTTTCAGTGCCCATTCTTCTCTTTTGTCCTTGTTGTTGCTGAATTCTAACAGCCTCATGAAGTAGATGCTGCTCTTATCTCAAATTGGCGGATTAGGGAATTGAGGCAACCGAGCCTTCCGTTAACTTACAGGGTGAATTCAGACCCTCTGGCTCCATATTCATCATCAACATAGCATTTTCCTTCTCAAAAATAAGGACACATACCACTCCCCACCACCACACTGCCCCAGGCCCCAGTTCCTGTAGAATTCAGTGTAGCTATTTTAATTTGTTTTCCAGATTGTAACTTTTGCCCCCTTTTTACTGAGTTATAATTTATATACTTTAAAATTCCCTCTTTTTAAGTGTATGAGTTTTGACAAATGTGTACATTCAGATAACGACCACCATAATAAGAAATAGAAGAATTCTAGTACTGTCCCAAATTTTCTTATGACCCTTTATCATCAGCCCCCTCCCTCGGCCTCTGGCAATTACTGATCTCTTTCCAAATTTTTATTTTTCTTGAGATTTACATGTTATTTAGTAGTCATCATCTATAATGTTTAATATATAGAAAAATTTCTTCAAACAACCCATTATGACACCTTAGCATCCAACAAAGCAAACAATCGAAAAGAAGGGAATAAAACAAGAAAACAGAATCTTAAGAAAACAGTTAAGCAATACATAAATACAGATGAAAGATTCAGGAATTTTAAAATAAACCACCATTGATTCAATAATATCCAAGTCTAATTAACATTAAGAAGAAGATGCCAGTCAAAAAATCTACAACTTCAGTCACTCAAAATTTAGATCAGCTCACTAGGAACTTTAAGAGAGGTTCTATCCTTAAGAGCTCACACATTTCTATAAAGAGAACGATCTGTAAGTTCAATTATGCCTTTTTTCCTCTCGAAGCAAAGGATCGTCTGGAGAGATATCCTTCACTAGCTAGCTCCTTTAAAAGGCAGGCCTTGTCTACACTCAAGGATGTGACTCCATACCTGTTGTAAACCACACTCAGATAAGCTCTCCTTCTGTATCTGCTTGTGCTTTCTGACTTACTGTTGGTTTCTTCAACATATGCTAGTCCACATTTCCTTTAGAAAAACATAATTTCACAACTACAAGCTTCTCTTCAAACTTTATCACCACTGAGTTAACTTAGAAAGTGTGTCATTTACACCAAAATGCTCCTCCGTCCTAGCAGGAGTTGGAGCCATAGGCAGCACAAGTGTGGAAGCAAAATAGGATGCTGGAGCAGAAAGGACAGGATGAGGGCCAAGTCGACTCTACAGCAATGCTTCTCAGACTGGCATATGACAAGTAATTACCTGGGAACCCCCAGTTCTGACTTTCTTGTGAGCTTCCAGGCAATGCTGATGCCACTGGTGCATAGACTGTCTTTTGAGTAACAGGGCTCTGGAATTCAAGGCTAGATTCTAGACAGGGTTACTAGTTTTTTGTTTGTTTGGTTTTGGTTTTGTTTTGACACAGGGTCTCTAACACCCAGGCTGGAGTGCAGTGACATGATCTGGACATCTCAGGCTCAGGTGATTCTCCCACCTCAGCCTCTTGAGTTGGGACTGCAGGCTAGAAAATCCACACCCAACTAATTATTTTGTATTTTTTTTTTACAAAGTCGGGGTTTCACCATAATGCCCAGGCTGGTCTCAAACTCCTCAGCTCTAGTGATCCACCCTCCTAAACCTTCCAAAGTGCTGGGATTATAGCCGTGAGCCACTGCACTTGGCCTAGGGTTACTAGCATTCGCTAAGCGTCTATACCAGAGATGTTTACCATACTGGAGACTTTTGCCTATATTACCTCTTGAAATATTCCCAAAAACTTGCTGGAAGGAATTATGGATTAAAATGAGGTTTGAGTCTGTAGTATAATGTTAGGTTAGAAACTCACTCTTTTTATTTCTTAAACATAGCTTTCTCTAAGACCTTACGGGAGAAGGGTGAAGTCCTAGAGGAAGCAATACACCAAAAAAACAAAAACAACGGGAAGCAAAATACCACACTATTATTTTGCTGATTCAGGACCCAGTAACGCAATATGTTAAAACTAAGTTGGAGCTTATGATGTAGCCCCAGGTCAAAGTTGGGACCTGATGGCTTTCTCTTCCCGCCAACCACCATTTACCAAGGCAAAGGGTGGGCATACCATATAGCATGGAAAGGAAACAGAATTATGTAGAGCTAGGGTACAGGGCTCCTGGTACAATACAATGGAGACAGCAGGAACAGAAGGAAAGCAGCAGAGTCACATAAGTATGTCATCTGCAAAAAACAATAACCCTATGTATGCATAAATGAGGCCAAATTATTGTCATATGATATGACCATCAGATTTATAGCCAGGCACAGTGGCTTACACCTGTAATCCCAACACTTTGGGGGGCCAATGTGGGTGGATCACGTGAGGTCAAGAGTTCGAGATCAGCCTGGCCAAATGGTGAAACCCCATCTCTACTAAAATTACAAAATTAGCCAGGAGTGGTGATGCACAACTGTAATCCTACCTACTTGGGAGGCTGAGACAGGATAATCACTTGAACCCAGGAGGCAGAGGTTGCAGTGAGCCAAGACCCTGACACTGTACTCCAGCCTGGGTGACAGGGCAAAAGTCCATCTCAAAGAAAAAAAAATTTAGAATTTGACCTTTTGGGAGGAACATTATTAGGATGGGAGAAAGGAAGCTTTTTTTTTTTTTTTAGGGCAGAGGGAGTAATGAGAAACTAGGTGGTCCCTCCAAAACAAGGAATCCAGGATTTATTATTGTCACCATTTTGAAATTGAAATACCCAGGAGTTAGAAAAATCAAGACTTTTTCAATGTAAAAAATCAGTAACTGGAAAACTACTATTGTACCCAGGTATTTTGACTAGAGTCCAGTCTTTTTTTTTTTTTTTTCTTTTTTCTTTTTACGTTACATCATACTGCTTTAAGTTTTATTTGCAATTTGGAAACAAGTAAGACCAAACCCTCTCTGGTTTTAAAGGTTAGAATCAGCAATATATCCAAGGTCAAATGAGCAGTCAGTGCTTGAAGTAACACACAAATCTGAAAAGTCAGCAGAAAAAAAATAATTCTGAGTCCAGATATGCAGCTCAAAGAATGTGCAAATAGCTGAGACAACAGGGTCAAAACCTAGGCAAGAGTCAGATAAACAGGTTCAGAACAGGCATCAGGTTTACTTAATATCAAATGGCACAACACAGTGAACCTGATTTTTCAGGCAGCACTCTCAGCCGGAAAACCTTTTAATTACCATGAATTGCGTTGACTACAAGATCTCCAAAGGGAGGGCTGTACCTCTGCCTTGGAATCTAGAAATAACCTAGATCACCACAAATAAGTGCTTTTCAACAAGAACACAAAACACACTTTACAACAGCTTTGCATGCACTTTTTATTTCCAGGACAAAAGGAAGGAAGAGAAAATGACTCCAGAGTAACAAAGGAGAAGAATCAGCAGTAGAGACAATGAGAATTGAGACTGAGCAAGAAGCAGGAAGACCAGGGAAGTAAGAGAGCAGAGGGACTGATTCAGAGGGAGATGGAAGATGGGGAAAGAGCCACACCTGTTTTCAGATTATGTTGACCAGTGTTTCTTTGCTTTTAACATTCTGAAAATTACCTATCATAAATTTCAATCCAGTTTCCATCAAATTCTTTTTCAGTTAGGGTACAAAAAAACGCAGGGGGAGGTGTTTCCCAGAGGTAGATATCAACTCATGCTTTTCCCCACATTTTTTCATACATCAGGTTGGTTTTCTGTGGCTTGTTTTGCTTTTCTTACCTTTTCCTTATTGTTATACTCAGTTGGTTCTGATGCCCATTTCAGAAACAGTACAGTCTTTTGCATTAAGTTTTGCAGATGTCCTATTGATTAGATCGCAGAGGTTATACCTGTTTGGATTTCCAAGGGCATAATAATAAGTGAAATCCCTAACTTAAGTGAAGAAGAAGATTGTTGGATACCTTTCTCTCTACAACATTAGAAGGCAGTTACAAACTAAAGCAATCTCACTTTAAAGTCTAGCTTTAAACTTAGCATTAAAGTTTAAATAATGAGAGTCACATTAGGTTTCTGATAAACTATAAAATCAATTTCAATTGAGAGACTTGTCATTTTGCTTTATTACCCCTGGGTACATGGCAGAATGTTGATGGAAATCTATGAAGGCATATTCATTCATTCATTCAACTGCTCTTTCATAAACATTCCTTGAAGGTTGAGCAGGCAGCAGACACAGTGTTAGCACCAAGTATTATTAAAAATTTGGAGGTGATTGTCCAATATTCTTTTCAAAGCTGAAGCTTTTTTGTTATAATGTTCAAAATCAGAAATTGCTTCCTAGAATTTCCAATCCCTGAATATCTTATCAGATGATGCTTTATGCTAATAAAGCATCATCTGATAAGATATTCAGGGACTTGTGAGGACTTGTGATCCTCCCTAGTTTACCAAGCCAGAATTATTTATAACGTAGTTCTTGGAATAAACATTTCTTTTTTATTTTATGAATAAACCTAATAGATTAGCATATGGGTTAAATTAGTGCCTGTTAACCAAAGAAGAAAAATAGTAACATATATTTAGTCCTATATATTTGGGTTTCCAAATACTAAACCCATTTTCATTAAAGTAAATTGTGTTTGAGGTCCAGCCCCAACCAAGAACCAATAGGTTTAATTACATTACATGGTGATGTTTTTGTTTCTTCAAACAAATGGAAGATTATGTAGAACCCTATACAGGTTTACTGGTTTAAAATAGGAATGCACTTCTGTGAAATTGAGATAAGCATATTGCACAATGAGCAACAGAATTTGTTGAAAAGCTTCAATCGAGCAGCTCTATCTCTGTCACCTATCTGGAGTCAGCCTCTGTGTCCAATCTGCACTCACAGCCATGAGTGTGCAGCTGAACATGGTTGAAAACTTTAGACCTTTCACCAACTGCCCCAATAAAACGGAGGCATCTCTCACTTAGCTTTATTGAACTCCACGTGAATGCTCAATAAGAGCTTAAAGTCTTTCTCCCCATACAAGGTAGTTGTTTTGTGGTCTAGGATGACCTCCTCACCCCACATCCCCGTGTATCCAAACTTCAGGGCCCAAGTCAAATGCTATTTATTTGTGAAATTCTTTATAATTCCAAGAAAGCTTGCATGGGTGGGCACTCATACACTATCAGGGTTGTAGGGCTTCTCAGTGCATTTGATGATGCCCCTTACTCTCTCTAAAAACAAAGTTCACCAGATAAAATGCCAAAGTCACAAATGTCCCCTGACGTTGTAATAACCTACCCTGGGCTAGCATCACTGACTCCAACTTTGCAGTAATCTCCAACCTGGCTTCCCCCTTCCTACCACAGCCCCTCTGAGTGCATAACTGGGTCATGCTGCACTTAGAAGCATTGAAGGTACTGTTCTTAACACTTGTAACCATTGTAACCGCATCCTGCTTGGCATACCTCCCCACTGCTATTGTAAGAAAAAAGTTTCCCTTTGATCACTGTGTAGAAGGAGCCTGATCGACCCCGCTTCTTGGTAATTGTATAGAAACCACCTGTGCCCGCAGCCCCTTCTTGTAACTTGCTTTTCTGCTTCTGTAAAAATCCGCTTCAGCTGGGTACTCCCCGCCCCTACCTAAATCCAGGTATAAAAGCTAATCAGGCCCCTTCCTCGGGGCCGAGAGAATTTTGAGCATTAGCCATCCCTCGGTGGCTGGCAAATCAATACAGGACTCTTAATTTGGAACTTCAGAGCGTGGCGCGTTCCTTCTAACTCGCTCAGTTACAACATTTGGAAGCTCCAGCGAGATATTCACCACCAGGTGTAGACGGGGCTCATTCCAGGGCCACATAAACCACCCCTTACCGGAGGAGAATGGATCGACTCCCGGCCCGCGCTCCACCAAATTATTCTTCAGAGTCCCTGGTCCTGCTCCGTGGAGAAGGTAAGTCAGGCCTGATCTGGTTATTCCTGGAAGTTACAGGGATCATCCACTTACTGGGACGCTGGACTCGACTACGGTGATTCCTGTGACCTTGTACTCTGGGTGCCTGAGTCCCTGGTCCTGGTTCTGGTTTTGGACTCTGGAAGAGTCCTGGTTCTGGTCTCTGGACTATGGGTGCCTGAGTCCCTGGTCCTGGTTCTGGTTTTGGACTCTGCAAGAGTCCTGGTTCTGGTCTCTGGACTATGGGTGCCTGAGTCCCTGGTCCTGGTTCTAGTTTTGGACTCTGGAAGAGTCTTGGTTCTGGTCTCTGGACTATGGGTGCCCCAGAGTCCCTGGTCCTGGTTCTGGGTTTTGGATTCTGGAAGAGTCCTGGTTCTGGTTTTTCTGTCTTTAAATTCTAGGGGTCTAGAGTTCCTGGTTCTGTCGACTTTTGGCTGTATGCTTCTGGACTCCGGGTGTCCAGGGTCCCTGGTCCTGTCCTTCTGCCTGATCTAGAGGGGCTCAGCCCTGACAAGGGCACCTCCCTGGACTCTGTCGCCACTCCGGGAAGCTGGAGGATGGAGTCCCTGGTTTCTGTCTAATTTGAAATATTTACACACAAGATAAAATTTTATTTCAGGGTTTAAACTGTTAATAGGGTGCAAAAAGACTGGCTCCCAACGTGAAGCTGGAACCCACGACCCTAGGATTAAGTGTCCCATGCTCTACCAGTTGAGCTAGCAGCATGACACAGTTATGCACTCAGAGGGGCTGTGGTAGGGAGGAGGAAGCCAGGTTCGAGTTTACAGCTAAGATGGAGTCAGTGATGCTAGCCCAGGGTAGGTTATTACATTGTCAATCCACTGGTGTCTGGGAAGAATTTACTGAATTACTTCCCTTTGTGTTTAAAAAGCTGATGAGCTCTTGGAATGGATCAAAGCAATGATTAGCAACCTTGGACTTTGTGGATATTACTTATTTTCTTCCAAAATCTACTTTTCCCCCATTTTTCCATCTCGATAATTGGGCTCTGAAGTCTCAGTTGTTTAAGTTAGAGCTCTGAGCACTCATCCCATCTCCAGCTTGAATCTGCTTCTACCTTACCCGTAGCTGGAGTTCATCACAAGGCCCCTCTCATTTTGTTATGATTGGTTTTGACTAGTTAGTAGCCTGCTTGCTCATCTCTCTAATCCCATTTTCCCTTCTCAGATCCCTCATCCACACAGCAGCCAGAGACCTTTGTAAAATAAAACATTACTTAAAACATTTCATTGATTTTTTTTTTCCAATGTAAAATCAAATATAAAATCCTTAATATGGTCTTGCATCATGGGATCTCTGACAACATCTGTGACCTCATCTCGTCCCACCACACCCTCCTCATGTTCCAACCACATGACCCACTTTTATTTCTGGGAACTTGCCCAGCCCTCTCCTTGCTCAGGACCTACTCTGCTCTGTTGGCATGGTCTTCTCCCTCACATTCTGCTCCCCATGGATTTCAATAACTCTTCCTCACCATCCACAACCTGAGGGAGGTGTCATTTCTCAGAGAGACTTTCCCAGTTTTAATTTATAAAATATAATTTATATTTTGTAAATTATATTATTTATATTTCCCCACTTTTAATTTATAAAACATAAAATATAATTTATCTTTTATAAATTTTATTATTTCTATTTTATAAATTTTATACATATATTTATAGATTATATATATTATATATTACATTATGTATAATTTATAATTTATACTTGTAAGTTATACATAGTTTACATTTTGTAAATTATAGTCTATATTTTATAAGTTTGTTTTATAAATATAATTATATTTTATAAATTATATAAGTTTATATTTTGTAAATTATATATACAGTTTATATTTTATAAATTATATGTAGTTTTGTAAATATATTTTATAAAATATATAGTTTATATTTTATAAATTATGATTTATATTTTATAAATAACTTAATAAGTAAATGATATATATTTATATTATATATTATATAATTTTATATTATATATATTAGATTGTATTATATATTAATATATTATAAATACAATATATTATGATTATATATACTTATATCATCAAATATATATTATAATATTTATATTTATACATATAATATATAATATAAATATCAGTTCTTTTTTGAACATCTTATAGAATTCTTCTGTGAATCTGTCTGGTCTTGGACTTTTTTTGTTGGTAATTTTTTAATTACCACCCAATCTCACTGCTTGATATTGGTCAGTTCAGGGTATCTAATTCTTCCTGATTCAGGCTAGAAGGGTTTACCTTTCCAGGAATTAATCCATATCTTCTAGGTTTTCTAGTTTATGTATGTAAAGGTGCTCATAGTAGCCTTGAATGATTTTTTTTGTATTTCTGTGGTGTCAGTTGTAATATCTCCCATTTTATTTCTTATTGAGCTTATTTGGATTTTCTCTCTTTTCCTGGTAATCTTGCTAATTTAGGTGTATCAATTTCATTTATTTTTTCAAGGAGCCAGCTTTTTGTTTTATTTATCTTTTGTATTTTTTGTTTTGTTTCAGTTTCATTCAGTTCTGCTCTGACTTTGGTTATTTCCTTTCTTCTGCTGGGTTTTGATTTGGCTTGTTCTTGTTTCCCTAGTTCCTTGAGGTGTGACCTTTCAGACTTTTTGATGTAGGCATTTTGGTCTATGAACTTTCCTCTTAGCACTGCATTTGCTGTGTCACAGAGGTTTTGATAGGTTGTGTCACTACTGTTGTTCTGTTTGAATAATTTTTAATTTCCATCTTGATTTTATTTTTGACCCAGTGATCATTCAGGAGCACGTTACTTAATTTCCATGTATTTACATGTTTTTAAAGGCTTCTTTTGGAGTCGATTTCCAGTTTTATTACACTGTGGTCTGAGAGAGTGCTTGATATACTTTCAATTTTCTTAAATGTATTAAAGCTTGTTGTGTGGTCTATTATTATATGGTTTATCTTGGAGAAAGTTCCATGTGCTGTTGAATAGAATGTATATTCTCTGGTTGTTGGATGGAATGTTCTGCATATATCTGTTAAATTCATTTGTTCCAGAATATATTTTAAATCCATTGTTTCCTTGTAGACTTTCTTTCTTGATGACCTCTCTAGTGATGTCAGTGGAGTATGAAGTTCCTCACTATTATTGTGTTGCTGTCTATCTCATTTCTTAGGTCTATTAGTAATTGTTTTATAAATTTGGGAGCTCCGGTGTTAGGTGCATATATGTTTAGGATTATGATATTTTCCTGTTGGACAAGGCCTTTTATCATTACATAATGTCCCTCTTTGTCTTTTTAACTGCTGTTGTTTTAATGTTTGTTTTGTCTGATATAAGAATAGTTTGTCTTGCTCACTTTTGGCTCCATTTGCATGAAATGTTTTTTTCCACCCCATTACTTACATTTGTGCAAGTCCTTATGTGTTAGGTGACTCTTTGAAAGCACCAGATGGTTGATGAATTCTTATTCATTCTGCAATTCTGTATATTTTAAGTGGAGACATTAGGCCATTTGCATCCAATGTTCCAATGTTAGTACTGAGATATGAGGTACCATTTCATTCACTATACTATTTGCTGCCTGTGTACCTTAGTTTTTGTTTTTTAAATTGTATTTTTGTTTTATAGGTCCCGTGAAATTCATGCTTTAGAGAGGTTCTGTTTTGATGTGTTTCCAAAATTTGTTTCAGTTTTTAGAGGTCCTTACAGCTTGTAGTGGTAGCTTGGTAGCAGCAAATTCTCTCAGCATTTGTTTGTCTGAAAAAAACTGTATCTTTCCTTCATATATGAAACTTAGTTTCACTGGATACAAAATTATTGGCTGATAATTGTTTTTTTGAGGAGACTAAAGATAGAGCCCGAATCCCTTCTAGCTTGTAGGGTTTCTGCTGAGAAATCTGCTGTTAACCTGATAGGTTTTCCTTTACAGGTTACCTGGTGCTTTTGTCTCAAAGCTCTTAAGATTCTTTCCTCATCTTAACTTTAAATAACCTTATTACACCCTGTCTAGGCAATGATCTTTTTGTGATGACTTTCCCAGTTGTTCTTTGTGCTTCCTGTATTTGGACGTCTAGGTCTCTAGCAAGGCTGGGGAAGTTTTCCTCAATGGTTCCCCCAAATATTTTTTTCCAAACTTTTAGATTTATCTTCTTCCAGAAAACCAATTATTCTTAGGTTTGGTCATTTAACATAATTCTAGGCTTCTTGGAGGCCTAGGATTATTTTCTTACTCTTTTTTCTTTGTCTTTGTTGGATTGGATTAATTTGAAGACCTTGTGTTCAAGCTCTCTAAATTTCTTTCTTCTACTTGTTCAATTCTATTGCTGAGACTTTCCAGAGTATCTTGCATTTCTATAAGTGTGTTCATTGTTTCCTGAAGATTTGATTGTTTTTTATTTATGCTGTTTCCTTGAATATTTCTCCCTTTACTTCTGTATCATTTTTTGGATTTCCTTGCATTAGGTTTCACCTTTCTTGAGTGCCTTCCTGATTTGCTCAATAACTAACATCCTGAATTCTTTTTCAGGTAAATCAGGGATTTATTCTTGGTTTGGGTCCATTGCTGGTGAGATAGTGTTATTTGGGGGTTTGGGGGTTGTTAAAGAATGTTGTTTTGTCATATTACCAGAGTTAGTTTTCTGGTTCCTTCTCATTTAGGTAGGCTCTGTCAGAGGGAAGGTCTAGGGCTGAAGGCTATTGTTCAGATTCTTTTGTTCCATGGGGAGTTCCCTTAATGTAGTATTCTCCCCCTTTTCTTATGGATGTGGTTTCCTGAGAACTGAGCTATAGTGATTATAAACAACATAACTTGAGTTTTCACCATGTGGAAGGCTGTGTCGAAAATGGACTCAAGTGAAGCACATATAAAGCAATTGAGGGTTTTTTTTTTTTTTTTGGAGGGGTTGAGAGAGGCCTTTATTTTGCCCAATAATTTTCTATTATAGTTGTGTGAAATTTTTTGTCAATATATAATTCATATATAACAAAGTTGGCCCCT